AAAAAAAAAAAAAACTGTTGGCAAAAAAGGTGACTGTATGCAACCTCAAAATCAAACTGCGTAACTTTTTTTTTCAACCTCAAAGTTGACGAACTTTTGATAGCCAAAAAATCATTTATTTTCTGATTCTTAACTTTTCATAAGAAAAAAAAAAGATTCAATTAAAACTAAACTTGTTTGACTTTTAGTAATTATCTTTCTTCTACACTTCAAAGAATCTCATAATTGTCATTGAAAATTTCTTCTCTCCAAATTTTCGGAAAACTTGATGAACCACAGATGACTATAGTTCAAAAACTGGATGTTAAATGGTGCTCTGGTGCTCTCAGAAGTGTTCAATCTGAATAATGTGAAATACACAAAAAAAAAAACAGAAACTATTTCATAATTTTGAACATTACCAATTAACTCGTGAAATCTTTAAAAAATTTCTGGCCCTTTCTTTCGGTTTTTTTCAATAGTCATGAAATAGACGTTGATGAAAGCATTCTTTTTGCCCATTTGTCTTCTTCATGCATAACAAATAAACAGCAGCAAAAAAATGAAAAAAAAAAAAAGAAGGCTAAAGATGCTATAGGAATTTAATGATAAATTTACGTTATTTTATCTTTGAAGCCGTCCACGTAACCTCAGTCCATCGATTAGCATTCCTAATCGGCAACTAAGTGTCGACACATCCGCTCAAACAGACACACAGACACAGAGCACATCACACAATTCGGTTGAATCCAATTTTTTTCATAAGCCCATGCAACTATTGCACATTCTCGTTCAACTAAGAAGCTTCATCGGTTTCTTGAGAAAAAAAAGGCAAATTACTTAGCAATAATGTAAGCAATAAAAAAGAAAAAAAAAACTTACTTTGCTAATTCTTAATTATTCTTTTGCCACACTGTGCAAGTCGATCTGTATGTATAAAGAAGTTAAAAATTAAATCAAATTGAAGTAAAGTTTGGGAAAAAAAAAGAGAAAAAATAAAACAGAAAAAAAGCACAAATCAGTATTCAATGACAAAATGGAAATCAAAAAAAAAGGCAGAAAAAAAAAGAACAGAAAACGAACACTGAGCTCAAATCGATACTCATTTCGTATCGTTACACTTCAGCAGTTCAGGTCTAACCTTCGGTTTTCACTATAACTGCACCAAAAGTATAGAATTTGTGAATAACAGAACTTGCCCAGTTTATACCATTTTTTTTTTTTCACTTAACATTTTGAAGAAAGTGAGGTGAGAAAAACGGAAAAAAAAGTTATTACATGTCAAAATTTTTTTTGCCGTTGTTCCTTCTCGCCTGTTTTTTTTTTTTTCTTTCACTTTTCCACAAGTTTTAATGTGACTAAAAAATGAACAATTTTTCTTTTATTTATGTGCTCCTATAATTTAATCCACAAAAATGGCTACTGTTTTTTTTTTTTTCTGTTTAACCATTACATATAAATAACAAAAAAAAAATTAGAAAATTCTCTTTAGCTGCTAATTTGTGATCAGTAATGACAACCAATCCAATGGTTCATCGAATTTAGTCAATCACACACAAAAAAAAAAGCCCACAACTCTGAGAGTTCAATATTGCTTAGTATAGCAAATAAATAATATTCAATAAAAAAAAAATACTAGATTTCCTGCTGTACAACTGTCAAAACATCAGCATCATTCAAACGACACAGATGAAAAAATTCTTCATCCGTCGTTCTGTCAAACACTAAGCTTCAGCGATCAAAACCTATCGACTATTACACCAACCAAAATCTATTGTAACCACCTATTCAGTCAATACATCGCTCAAACAAAGTACTGCAAGCAGTAAAAAGTTATAAAATAAAATTCAAACAAAGAACAAGTTACCAGAAATATAGTTTGCAATAAGCTTCAAACTTCAAGACTAAAGTAACAATAAAAATAAACTTTAGACTCAAATATATCACTTCTCATTGACTACTGCTACAGTTGTTGCTGCTTTTTCCATACAAAAAAAAAAAAAAGAAAGTAATAAAACAAATTTTAAAATCTAACATTTTGTTGATTTATGCCGTTTTCCAAACTATTCACTCAATATGCACTAAAATTATGACACATTCAAGCAAACGATGTATTAGTAAACAAAACTAATTGTATACAGAACAAAAGTGTGGAATTAATCAGGACTAAAAGATCCCTAATAACAGATAGTTTAACTTAAAAATGATTAAAACACTTTAAAAAAATGAAACAAAATACGAGGCACTGATTCTATTTCCTCAGAAAACCCTGATATTCTCTTTGCTCACTGCATAAGCACTGTCCAAAAATTTCCATCCCTCAACCCTCTTTCAATCCCGCATCTTTCGCTTCACTTCCAATTGTTTCATTTAAATTCTTACCTGATTTTAACTTTGTCGGAACACATTTCCAAAAACCCGATGAGCAGTAGCAGAACCACTTTTGATCCTGGAGGTATACCCGATACGACGGTGTTAGACGTCCACGTTTCACCCGTTGTAACACTATACCCTTAGTACAAAGTTCCAAATACTTCGTCGACTCATCTGCTACCCGCTCGTCCGAAGCCATTGATGCCTGGTGGGTATATTGGAGTTGTTTTTTTGATAGTGCAGTTGATGAAAAATTTCAAGAAAAAAAAAAAGGTGGAAAAAGTAAATATTTTACGTTTTAAGTCTTATTGATACAAATAGTGGATGGCAACAACAAATCTATATTATACATTATATATACATATTTACCGTTGATGATGTTAAGAAGACTTATTAAAAGTATCTAACAACGAAAATGTTTCTACTGAAAAGTCCTTCTTACAGCCCAAAAGACCAGAGCGCTACATTACACACAGAAAATTTAAGAGCAATCAAAACTATGATTTTGCTGCTTGTCTGACAGTGGATTAGAGGGAGATTGTCAACAAAATATTGTTGACAGCGTAGAGAATCAGAGAAAACTGAGACAATGTATAGGCAAACTGAGCGCAATTGGGAAGACGATGTAAGGGAGAGAAATGGAATGGGTATGACGGTTGCAATGAGACCGTTGCAGCAGTAACAATCTTTGGTATTCTCTGTCTATGTCTTGTTTGTCTGTATGTCTGCGTGTCTGTGCTTTTCCCCGTGTCTGTGTCTGGCACTTTGATATATAACAGCTCTATAGGCTTTGGTAGTAATGTTGTCTGTGGAACGGAACACAACAACAAAACCTTACTCATTTTTGAAACCCTTCAAAAATTCTGTCTGTTGCACCTATTTGTACTTTTGAACTACACAGCAACACCATTTTTATTTGGTCAATACATACAAATAGTACATTGGTTTTTTTTTTTTTTTTGTTATTCTTCTGTCTTCTTTTTTTTTCCCCTTTATAGGAGCGTAGCATAAAAAATTTCTATCACCAAGCTAAATCATACAATACAAAAACCATCTTACAGAAAATACGATTTTTGCGTACTTTCTTTTCACGCATATACTTTTTTTTTTTTTGTTTTAAAAGTTTCACCTTTTTGCAATTTAAATTTCTTTCCTTCTTTCCTCCACTTTTCTATACAGATT